AACCACCCCGAGTCACTGTGTGAGATGGGTGGTTATATAAATGATATATAAATAAACAAATAAAATTACTCAGGACCTTCATCAGCCTGCATGTGGCTTTTGACTCAATTCCCCCTGAAAAGCAGGAAATCACCTATAGATTGTCCCCTCTTTTACTTGATAGCGATGCACTTCTGTGCACCTTAAATATAGATATAATGGTGATCTGGCAGGCTTTACCACCACCAAGCAGGGCTGCATTCTGCTCCCTGACTACTTAATTCAGACATCATTGATCAGACAAGTCTTTGCCAAACAGGATTTCCACCCTGGCCACAAGGCAAGGCCTATCCTTTTATACTCAGATGACAGGGTCATCTTCCCCCGATCCACATTTGTCTTGCTGTGATGCCTACATGCCTTAGGATCATATTGCCATGATGAAATGCTAGAAATTAATTACTCCAAGTGCTGTAATAGCCATCTACATAACTGGAAAATTAACTAGACTAGACATCTTTTTCTACTCTTCCACTTCATAGAAATATCAAATCAGCAACTTCTCAATCTGGATGCAAAACTCCACTAATGTAGTAATTAAAGGTGCAAGCTACAATAGCTGCAATGATGTCCTGCCAGTATTCAAACTACACCCCCTCTGCCTCACAAGAAGATGGGTTCACATGGCAACATGGGATACCTTACCTTCAAAGGTGATGGAGGGGAGATTGAACAATGCCCCACTTCAGGAACACCTTTGAGTCTATCCAGGCACAGAGGCTGAGACTATTGTATATGATCTTCTGAGTTGCCCTACTCCCTAATCCTAACAACACATGTAAAAAAGGGTGGGGCTTCAACCACATGGTTATGGCCACCCTCGTTTTGACCACTCCCTTGCAAATACCCCTAATCCAATACATCCACCCATGTTCAAAATCACCTATTTCCCTCTGAATCCAGATTGATACATAAATTACATCATAATAATTTTAAATTGCTTGAAATAACTTTTAACATGTGCAAAATATTTAACCAACTTTAAATGGTTTAATTTCACAGATGAGCTTCTTAGATTCATCCAAGGTTTGTTTGCTTGCTTGGTTTTCAATCAAAATTCCAAATGCTGTCAATTGGATTATGGTTTTGCTCCTAGTTACTGAAACTGTTTGGCAGACACCAAACATTTGGTATCTGCAGTTTTAATTAGTAAAAGTAAAGACTCTTTCAAAGCACACGTAACTCTTGGTGAAAACATGGCAAGATGTCCATGTTGTTTTCTTGGCAAAAGTATGGAAGTGGTTTGTGCCTTCCTCTAAGGTGGTTTGCTTATTAATAGGAGATCTAACTACCTCCTGTATAGCCAACAGGTCTTGGTTTTCTGGCAGTCTCCTACCCACATATGAATCAGATCTGAAACTGATTTTTCCTAAATTTGCCCAGCTGCTGCCTTCTCCTCTGACTTTAACATGTGTGTGTGTATGTTAAGTATGTATGTGTATTCACATGCACAGCAATACATGCACACACACAAAGCACTTGCAGCTCAGCAAAGTATTCTCTTGCAACTTGCTAGATTGCTTTAATATTTGCAGTGATCTACCATTTTAGCATGGCTGCAAGCCAAAATAATCCTTCGCACCCCTTCTTTTATTGTCAAGACTTTTAGCAGTTCCATTTCTTTATTAAGATACCAGCAGCTGAAGAATAACTTCAATGCAATGTCTTCAACTCAGTTAGTATTCTTGTTCCATATAGGGTTTTCTGCTTCATGCGGAAATAAATGGAGGTTATCACACCAGAGTTCAAAGAGATTTGTTTGTTTGTTTGTTATTAGCTACCAAGAGAATTTAGCCATATCTCTGCATCTGGGTATCCCACAAATATGAAGCCTAGTTTCAGGTTCTTACATTAAATTCAGCAGTTCCTTATGAACAAATAATTTTAGTCAACCAAGTTAAGCAACAATATATTTTAATGCACCCAAATTATCAACGTATCTAACCTGGTTTCTAGTATAGTCTGAGCCCAACAGAAAGGTTGCAGAAGCAACTGCATCATCTCAAAGACTATATAGTCAGACCACTTTGGGACAGCCCTGGTGAAGATCTACCAACCAAATCTTTGGCAACTGGTGTTTCTTGTAATACTGAAAGGAAAAGTTGTACAGGAAACTTGCTTGAGCTGTAGATACAATTATACTTACTGATTTTCCAAATGCAAAACTGACTGAATGTTACACAATTTGTACTTTCAGAGTAATGACCAAAGACATTTTCTGTCTTGCACAGTATCAGTCATTGAAAGTGCATGAAGGTTTGGGGTGCTTCTCAAGCAACACAATATTATCACAAATTAATTTGCTGGTGAATGTGTCTCTGTCCTCAAGAATTATTACATTTAGTATCTGGCCATTGATCAAAATGCCTTAATGTAGGTAGTATGGCTAACAATCCATTTCTGCAAAATGAATGCACACATTTTCTGTCCTGACAGACATACCAAATACATTTTTCAAAAATTACAACATTAATTGTCTTTTTTCAGAAACTATCCACTCTTCTTCTAAAACTTAAGCAACTGAATTAAAGATGCCAGGTCATTCAATAGATTTGCCCATTAGTAATCTGCTTTAGTATCGATTCATTATTTGATTAAGAGTAAATAAAAGTTCATATTACGGACTGCTCAATATGAGTGCTTTTTTGAATGATGAAGGTAATCAGTACCCCTTGCCATTACAAGTAGAAATAAACTTTTATTTTCCTTTTTCGTTCTCTGTTATATTGACAGACAAGGAATCACATTTTTAAACAATAAAATGTGCCCTTAATATTGAACTTCCCCAGTTATAATTTAGCCTTGCAGTAGAAAGCAGAGATAGCTTTGAAAACACTGTCACCTACTGGCCATTTTAAATTAGTAAAAAGAAAAGTATACTCCAAAAAGGGAGGTATCAGGTCATGTTCACTCAATAAAGGTCATGTACACTCAAAAAGTATCAGGTCATGTACACTCAGATGAAAGGTACCTTAAAATAAATCTCTAAGAAACACCTCTTTCCGATTAAATAAGTTGGGAAATGTAATTGTTGTTATACCTCTTTTCCTGCTTCCTTTTCTCTGTAGTAAGAACTCAGAAGCTATTTAATTCTTGAAGATTCAAATAATATCCTTGCAAAGCTTATTTTTAAAGCACAGGCTTTAACAGTCCTAGCCTTATTATCTCTTATGAATAAATGGCCATTTTTTCTTCAGTGTTGCCTGCAGTGATATCAAATTTCCAAACTGTAATTACAGATTGTGAGCAAAAAGCAGTTTTTTAATCTCACAGAATGCTCCTTTGTTCTAGTAGTAAGCACAATTGAAAGCCTATCCCAGTATTAATGTAAGTATACATTAATTTATTATGTACTTGTTAAATGTACGTTTTCCTCTATCTTTTTTCTTGATATTGTTACTAACCATCTTCTGGTTTTTACATAAACACCAGTTTTCATTTTCATGAAATTTGATGAAAAACCACGCAGCATTCAAAACATGCACTTTATACAAAGTGTGAAACAAATTAGAGAACAGCAAAAGAAATTTCTACAGCAATATCATATTATAAAGACGTATTTGTAATTATTCTTCTAGAACAGCCTTCCCAAACTGCTGTCTTTCAGAGATACTAAGCAATAGTTTTCATCATTCTTTAAAGTCACTTTAGAGGCAGCCTTGCAACTCTAGCTAATAAACAAATAATAAAATATTGGACAGAAACTTTGATCTGGTGTCCTTTGTAACATTTGTAGCATTATTCTTCTCATATTCTTTATTTTAAAAAAGGCATATTGTGCTTTCCTATACAATAGTGCATCTTTTTTACTACCTCTTCTAGATCTGCAGTAATTTCCTGGAATATGAATTCAGTTCAGGCAATACTGGGTTAGAATTCATTTATTGTAAAACAGCTATGAATTATCTCCCTCATCAAGAGTTCTCCATTTCAGCCATGGAACCAACTTTCTATCACAATATGCAGTGTGAAGTTTTCAAAATAGATACATCCATATTTCTGCTCATCTCATCTATAACTTGACTTCTCCCCAGTTTTGTGAGTGTGCCTTCAAGTCAGTGTTGATTCCAGACGATTGCTTGGACTAGTCCCTGCAATTTTCTTGACAAGATTTCAGAAGTGCTTTGCCATTGGCTGCTTCTTCCTAGGGCTGAGAGGGTGGCACTGGCCCAAAGTCACCCAGCTGGCTTTGTGCCCACGGCGGGATTAGAACTCACAATCTCCTGGTTTCTAGCCTGGTGCCTTAACCACTGCACCCAACCTTAAGACCTCCAAGTGAGGCTGGAAGTTGAAGTCCACGTATCTTAAAGTTGCCAAGTTTGAACAACACTGATCGAAATGGATTCAGGATTAGAATGACTTATTCCTTAGAATTAAAACAATCCCCAGAAAATATACTGTAACTGAATGAAGGAGAGTGAATACAAAGCAAACCTTTTTATTGATAACTTATTAAAAAGTTATATTTTAAACCAGAAATACAGCTGAACTTTTAACTAGGAAACCTGTTTTGCAATCAAGGGCACCCTTTAAAACAAAAAATCCATGGGGTGTAGCCATTAAATGGAAAGGTGTTTTTTTTTTTTTTAAGTAAAATAAGTTAAATCTACTGAATGTTTAAAGTACTTCTTTTGTTTCTTGTTACCGAAAAAATGACCAATCAAAATGATGTAGAAACTAGCTGGCTAGTCATATGACCCACTTATTTTATACCATACTAAAGAATCACAGCCTCATCTTAGAATCTCATCCTAGCTAAGGTATTTTGGATACAATTCAGCAGCAACAAACAGACTCACTGAAAAAATGTGTATGGTAGCTGTTTCCAAACTGAACCTTAAATCATGTCCTTTCACTCATACTTCTTTGACTGCTGCTTTTTGCACATTTATTTCAAAGAAGACCCACTTGAAAAAGAAATCTAGATTGGTTGATCTTACTAATATTCTTTAATTTCTTACCTGTTGTCGCTTATATGCCAAATGGTCCAGCTTCTTCAATTCTTTCTGAAGATGTTGATATGTTTTCTGCAGTTCTGATTTACTAGATACATTTCGAAGGGACATAAATGTTCTCTGTACCTGCGGCCATACAAGAGGTGGGAAAAAAGAGCATTTGAATTTGTCTAGGAACAAATCCCCTAATATCAGCTCTTTGCACTGCATTTGAATTAGTGTCAGGTCTTGTTACATCTGAGTTATACTATTGGAAGGAAAATATACTTCTTGAAACCATCCTTTTCTGTCTCCAAACTCATCTGCCCCACCACTAGGTTGTATTACAAGACTCAAAACCTGTCCTTTCTCCAAATTTGCATATCAAGGCTCATACGTGCATGTCACCCACAGCCAAAATTCTGCCTTAACATGAACAACCCATGTAGACATCATTCCATCACTCCACTTTGTCTCCTTCTGTGAGCACAAACAGCTGAACAAACAATAGAAACTCCTTCCACATTTGTGTTGCATGACATGAAGCTGGTAATGCTGGTCCATTCTGCTCCCAACATGTCAGAGTTGGAAGCTAGGAGCTGGCAGTCAGGGGGACAACCATACAGAACATGTGAATGCAGTCATGGAGGATAAGAAAGGTTGTTTTTCCTTCAGTTATAGGTGGCTGCAACACTCTTCTGGAAATCAAAATCATGGAGAACTGAAGTTTGGGGTGGGAGGGTTTCTTTATTCTCATTATTTCAAGAGAAGAAAGCAACGACTGCAATGGAGAGACTAGAACCATGTCAAAGCTCAGCCTGTGCTTTACAGGACCATGAGCTGTGCTCTGAGACATCTACAGAGGGTCAAAAAAGTCAAGGTGATGGCTGTGACCATGCAAATGAAGCTCTGCCCCTTTTTTGCATGTACTGTGGGCTTCAACTATGTGATTACAGCCACCACCTTGACTTTTTTTACCTGCCTGTGGATGCTCCTGGTTGGGCTCATACTCAGCTTAAAAGGTTGACTCTGGTTTCCCATTCAAGCACCAGCAGCATTGCTATGCACTTTATCATCATTTCATATAAACTGATGTGGGCAAAACTGTACGTGCAACAACGTTTTATTGACACTGAAGTAAATTATGTCATGCAACTGTTCAACAGGTAATGCCATGAATATTGCCCAAGCCAACAATAGTAATGAACACCAAGGGAGGACCTGTTTTATTTAAATGTTTTCCTTTGGTTCTTTCCTCCCAGAATAGCTCCATGATCCATTTTATTGAAACACAACGTTATGTCAGAACTGGCTTTCAGTAACAATGAAAGGAAATTTTTGAGGTTAATCTTGGTTCAGTGTTTTTCTTTGCTAAAGCTTTCTTTTTACTTTCATCCACCTGTTGGATCGCCAGTACTCAAAACACCAATTCCAGAATATCTCCTCATGATATGGTACCTGCTGGCAGAACGTAAACTGTTACCTCTCAGATATTTCAAATGCAGCACATGGTTAAAAGCAGCAAAGGTTTATTGTAATACACAGACCAGGGTAAAACCCTAGAGAGAGGCACTGCAATTTGTGTACAAGTCCAGCATTTCGGATAAGAGGAGAAGTGAATTGTATGTCTTGTATTTGGGCCCAGGCTATTATGAGAACACAAACATTATGTTCCATTTATCCAGGTTTAGATTAGCATGCAAAGAACCCAGACACGGTATTATAATTAAGACCTAAACTGGGATTCAGGAGTCTCATTTCAATATGCGCTTGAATGGATTTGGGACATTTAGGATCTCTTACCCCAACCTATTTCCCAGGAGACTTTTGTAAGGGCAAACTTGATGAAACACCTCCATATAAAGTGGGTGAGAAAGAGTAGGTTTAAAATGCTGGAGTAGAACTAGAGAGCCCCAGGTTCATTCCATCCTCAGTGTTTTGATTGCAATGGGGAAAGGATGAAGGAGGCCCTTCCTCATATTTGCCTTGAACTCTTGGAGAAAAAGTAGACAATGACTGTAATGCATGCCTCTCCAGCCAGGACACTCCATAGATGTGGACTTCAACTCTTGGACTTCTCATCCATAGTCAGGCTGGCTGGGGAATTCTGGGAGCTGAAGTCCACATATCTTAAAGTTACCAAGGTTGAGAAACACTAATCTAGCAAGTCTTTAGGGATTCTCTAGTGTGACTCCAGGCTTACCTTTAATCACCATTATCTTCATCTAACAAAAAAATCATACTTCAAAATAAATATTTGACTGTCTAGCACAGTGTTTCTTAAACTTCTTTCCCTTCCCACTTTTAAAAATTAAGAGGATCCCAAAAGAGCTTTGGGTTGTATGGATTGTATTTATCGATATTTGCTGCATTAAAAATTAAAAATGACGCATTTGCTGCTGCTACCACTTCTCACGATTGTTTGATGGGATTTTAATATTGCATTATTTTTCAACTCAGGCTAGCCAATAATTTTGCTTTTGCGAACCCCTGAGAGAGTCTTGGGGGACCCCCAGGGGTCCTCAGACCACATTTTCAGAAACACTGGTCTAGCAAAAGATTTTTCCACTTTTAGTACATATTGTTCAAGCCGTGTCTGCACAAGCACAGAAGAGTGTGCTCATTCGAAGTGCTGAACAGTGCAATAGCCAGATAGTACAACAGCCAGGTAATCTCCTCTTCTTTCTGCCAATGCTCTGATGAACTGTCAAAACCTGCGTATTAATTCATGCAAGGGTTAGGGTTAGGGTTAGCATGTCCAGGAGGGTTGTCTGCAGGATAGCGTTAAAAAAGAAGATGGCAGCTCCAACAATACAATCAGCACTCCATGGGAAGGATCATACTCCATGGTGGCATACTTTCCATCTCTATTCTCTTGCCATTGCATACATAAGAGGGTAAAGGCTAGAATAATCACAGAGGCAGGCTTTGATCGCACTGTCGTGTCTGCCCTCTTGACTTTTTTGACCACCCCTGCTCTCCATGCTGGATTTGCTATCTGCTACTTTAGGGAAGACAACCATTTGAGGACAGCAAGGGTGTATCCCCAGTCTCTCCTGAGTCTGACCTGTATTTGAAAAAAATGTCACCCCACTTGACAGAGAATTAATTGCCTCAATTAAACTCTCCTCTCCCTCCTGTAAGCAGCACCCCAGCCACACCTCACCCTTTTCACATGCAGGTTCACACGGAAGCCCACCTACTCTCTGGGAGAATGTGGGTCCCTTAGGAATCTCACAGGTAGAACCTCTTGGGCGTAACACTGTGAACTTGTCCCCAGATCCTATAATCAGTGTGTCAGCCCTTCAAGGTAGTCCAGACAGGAAACCAAAACCATAAGTACTAACACTACCTTTATTGTAAGGTTACAGTAACAGTAACTTTCTCCTGTTTCCCAAGGTTATTCTCACAGCCCCCTACAGTCTGCACATATGTGTCAGAAACCTTTTGCTACCCTTGGATTCATCATCCCCATCTGCCAAATTGTTTCTTTAATGGCATAGAATAGAGGACGGGTCATCTGGTGTCCTACTTTCCATCTCTGTTCTGCTGCCATTGTATACACGAAAGGGTTAATAGTAGAGTAACTAAGGGCCTCTCCCTTTGGGATGTCCATCTTAATTATCCACAATATTGTTTCCATTGTAGGAGGAGAGTCATGTTTGTCTGTGGCTTAAAAAAAATCTGATAGCCCCTTTTTCAACTAACCAATTTTATTAAAAGGCATAAATGTTCATGAGCTAGAGCTTATGAAAGCTTATGCCTTTTAATAAAATGGGTTTGTCAGAAAAAGAGCTACCAGACTCCTTCTGAAGTATTGTTTCCAGTGGCTCTAGAAAGTTCTGGGTATAGAACTGGGAGAGAAACACGGGAATTCTTGTCAGTTGTTCACGTCTCATTCTATCCCTATTTTTACTTGCTTTTCCCCCGATTCTGCCAGTTGATTATTTCTGGATGTTTGCTCATGTTTAATAAATTAACATCAAGCTGTATTTTTGCTAGCCGAATGGAGTGGCGTGTGTGCGTGCTCTGATCTGGATATAGGAACTGACTCAGAGTCTGCTGGGGGCAACTAAACTGGAAATTAATTTTCCAACATACAAGGATGCCATAAAATTTCCTTGGAACGAAACCAATCCTGGCTAAACCACTTGTATCCCTAAACCAGTGTTTCTCTACCTCACAACTTTAAGAAGTGTGGATTTCAACTCCTGGAAAAAAATATTTTTTTATCTGGGTTTTTGCATGCTGGCTGGGGAATTCTGGGAGTTAAAGTCCATATATCTTAAAGTTACTGAGGTTGAGAAACACTGCCCTAGGGTTTCCAGATACCTGGAGATTGGAGGTGCTTCAGGGTTATATTTAAATTAGTCTCAATTCACTCAGGAATTATTGCACTGTTTCTCTATGGGGGAATGTGAAGTGGGAAGGGAAAGAGTAAACATTATATTGAAAGTCAAGATGAAAAGCAGAAGAAAGCAAACTCACTCAGCAATTGCATTTCTCAGCCCCTTGGCCAATGCCCTTTTCATCTGGTCTGCACGTTATACCTGTGGCCCTTCAGCTTTTTTAATGAGCAGAAAGCCCTAATGGAGGCTGCTGTGCTCTGGGCTGCAAAACCCAAACAGTCATAAGAACACTGCAAGATTTAATTGCTGTTATCTCGAGGCATCATGTTGCCTGGCATCATGTTTCATCTTTCCTAGAATCTTCAGACACGGGTAGCCAAATGTTATTCCATGGAGTCCAAACCCTCTACTGGGAACTGGACTCATGGGCCTTCATGTTTTAGATCAGGGGGCGGCAAACTTTTTCTGTAAAGGGCCAGATAACAGATCTTTTAGGCTTTGCAGGAGAAGAGGTAAAATCAATGATATTCTGTAGGTATTTATGTAACAAGAGAGAAAACAAATGTCCACAATTTTTTTTAATGACAAGGAAGTTCTGGGGGAAGTATGGAGTACCAACGACAGCTCTGCAAAAGCAGATGCAATGACCATGCCAAAGAACCAAGGAACCGGTGAATAGATTGGTTCCTTGGAACCTCTCTGGATAAGGAGAGGATGGGAGATCACCCACATGTGCTCTGGACAGCTGCTGCTCAGGAGTTGACCATAGGACAGCAGTTTTCCACGGGTTTGAGCCCT